TTTAAAATGACAACTTTTTCACAAAAAATTAACTTTTTCAACTTAACTTTTGAAAATGTTCCGGAAGGTCTGACACTTTTATATATATCTTAAATTAAAGCTAATGTAATGTACTTTTATTTGAAAAAAAAAAAATTTGACCTCTGGACTTGTCTTCACGGCGTAAATGGCTACCAAATGCTATTTTCGTGTGAAAATTTTCGATTTTTTTTTTATATTTTTAACTTTATAATGCTTATACTTATTGAAAAATGTATGAATCAATACAATTTTTTTATGAGAAATAATATTTTTTAATAATCCCTTTTTTATTCGACTTACTATATCTTAATCAGGATATTAATAAGGAACTAGCAGATCATGTAGCTTTTGGAATAATTCAGTAATTTTTTAAAATTAAACACTATCTAAAGATTTGCATCAAAGTGTTTTTTTTTTTATAGTGATTTTAATCACTGTCAGATATCATTATACTTGACCCAACTATGTCACATTCCCAATGTGCCGTGAACCCACTGTGCTGGATTTTTTTATTAACGTTAATGTCTGTTTTCACTATGAAAACAAAATAAAGTCGATTTGGTTGCGGTTTCGGTTAAAAACTGATTTAAAAAAAACGGTAGCATAGTATGGACGTGGCATAGTTGGGACAAGTAGAGATAATGTCTGACAGTGATTGAAATCACTACCATAAGAAACGCTTCAATGCAAATCTGTAGATAGCTTTTAATTTTAATAAATTGGTTGATTATTTCAAAAGCAAAATTAATTTTTTTTTTTGAACTTCTAGTACATAAAATAAGTTATATTTTAACATATATTTAAAAGAGGCAGTGTTCTCGGAACATTTTCAAAAGTTAAGTAGAAAAAGTTATACTTTTTATACAAATTTTCAAGTTTACAAGTTTCAAAAAAGCTTTTCTTAATTTTGAAGAGGCAAAATAATCAAATTAAATAAATTTACAAGTTGGATTCATGTAAATTTTATGTTTATTGGTAGACTCATTACTATGGCAAATTCTTAAAAGGTATTTTAAAATAAACAAACAAAAATAAAATTTAAATACAAAAATAGCATGTTTTGTAACTATAGCTGAGAAAATGTAGCAACAGACAGGAAAAAATACACATCATCGTAAAATTAATATCTTCTCAGATTCGCATCGAAGCTAAAATTATGACTAGTATCCGTTTTGAATTTAGAACAGTTTTGAAAAAAAAATCCATTTTAGAAATCCGTTTTGAGAATTATGCGGGGTTAGTTTCGGTTAAAAAAAATTGAAAAAATGGATTTTAATTTATTAAAATAGATTTTAATCAGTTTTTAGAAAAACGATTTCAGTTCGTAGAGTTAATAAGTTCAATATGAATAATTGAATGGCTGGAACCGTTTGATTTGTTTACGGTCTCGATGTCAGTTTTGGGTTTCAGTTTAAAATAATGATCGGTTTCAATTATAATTTAAAAATCGATTTAAATATATAACCATTTTTGATAAATTATCATCAGTTTTAGAAACTGGTGTTAGGTTGTATGCGGGTTTGTCAATAGATTCATCCACAATTGTAGATGAACCGTCCAGTTCCTTTTAATAGATTGTAATTTAAATAAAAAAATAAAGCTCTTATTTTATCATAAACACTACAATATATTTAATTTTTGCCAATGGTTGCACTGCTTTGGGCTTGCCTCCACTATCTCCTATATTTACTGTGTGCATGGGTACATTCTTGTTGCAAAATCCTGTTCCTCCGCAGTATTGTTGGATGTCTCTATTTTGCTTGGAGAGTTACTTAATTTATGATTTCAGGGACTTGAAAAACGACAAGGTAATAAATATATTACTTGAAGTATTTCGTGTAATTGTCGTCTTGAAATTTAATCATTTAAAAAGTATTCGTATTTATATGAATCTTGTGTTTGATCAATTTTTAAAGTTGGTATGTGAGGATAATGCAAACTCATAAATAAAAATCGTATCATTACTTCCATTTTATATTAACTTATATTTATTTATAGTAAGTTTAAACATTTAAATAGATTTATTTGTTGAACTACATAGAATATTAGATTTTCAGGACGAGGGTAAATTTTATATAAATTTAATTAATACATTTTTGACTGGTTAAAACTATATAATAATTTAAAAAAAATTGATCTCAAGTTAATTTTTAATAAAATAATATCAATAATTTTGACATATATTTCAACAAGTAAAAACAAATTTGACTGTAAGATTTAATTTAAATAAAAAATTGGGTAATTATTTTTTTAAGTTAATAAGTATTTTAATAAACTGTAAAACATTGATTATAATATAATTGTAAACTTATTTACTTGTTCTTAATATATAATTAAATTTCATGACTTAAAAATTATAAAACTCAATCAAATTTTATTAAATTGAGTATCTAATTATTATATTCTTTCTTAATAGATAAATAATACATTCATAGATTAAAATAAGTATTCTTTTGCTAAAACAAAAATAATTTTTATGAATACCAAATAAAAGTTTATTTTTAAGTTAAAGGTAAAGTATTAAAAAAAGTTTTTTTTTAAATTATAAATTAAAAGTTCCATCTATCATAAATTGATCTGAGTCAAGGAAAAACAATTTAAAAATTCTTTGCCCACCTTAACTAATAGTTTTAGTAGATGTTATTGCGATCAATTAATTAGTAATAATTTTTATTTTAATAACATTTTGTTTATTTTAAATGTTTGTATAGGTATATTATTAACCAATAACAATGAAAGAACGCTATCAAAAACAGAAGTTTTTAAAAAATTTTGGGCTACGTCCGAATAAAAATTTTAGGTATTATAAAAATTTATTAATTTTAATAAGTTATAAATAACTGAAGCCTTTTATTAAAAATTTTGTTTCACAGATATCATGATAACGACGATTCAACAATCAATGTAAGTAGAAAAAACATTTTTATCAGGCAAAATTTAAAATTTTTTTACCTTTTTAGATATGTGATCGCGTTTGTTTTTATTATTATGATGATAATTCTGAAGTGATATGCCGTGGATGTTTTAATAACTTTTCATCTTGGTTAGAATTTCGAAAACATTTTACTTCAACCTTTTGCTCTACTACCAAAAGTCACTATAAGTTTAATACATATAATGATGTATATAAAAATTATAAATTAAAAAAGGCAAAAACTAAAAAGAAGATAAATGATTGTTTAAGTGCAGCACACCTAATGGATTTTGAAACTTTAAACACTCGTAAAACTCGTAAAAGGTATTTAGAAAATACTTATTATATCATAGTAAATATTATATAGTTTAAATGTAGACATAGGAAAAGCTCTGTGCCAAATTATAAGAACTTTTTTACAAATGCTTTTTTTTGGTTTTTAAATAACACATAATGATAAGTATATTTATTTAAGAAAGAAATAATTATAAATAACTATTTTAAAATTATCTTGTTTAAATGGTGTTAACAAATGTTTTTAAAAAACTAAAGCAGCAATAATAATAAAATTTAATGATTATGAAATTTTTATACGTCCTTTAAAAAAATAAGAAAATTTTTGTTTAATATTTATACAAAAGCTACAAATTATATGATAATATTATTAGGGATGAGTGTAACCATTTAGTTTTATCTGTAAACTTTTCATACCAACGTTTGTAAAAACAATCTTTTTTTTGAAAAATATATTTTTTACTTTGTCTTTATTAGATCCTGAAAAAAATTTAATTAAGTCTTTTGACTATAACACTATCAATATGAAAAATGTTATGTTTTTAAAATTTTTTTATTAAAATCTCAGTCAGATTGTAATTAATGCCAACTTTTTTTTTGTGGTAAACTAAATATATTGGATTTTTAAATTATTTTCTTTTCTTTGTTTGGATTAAATTAACATGTAAGGTTTCTATAAAATGAATATATTTTTTTAGATGTTATATCAATACTAGAGTTACTGAAAATAAGACAGCAAAATCAATTTCTTCAATAGAAGATTCAAATACGGATTTATCACCTTGTAATTTATTTGAAAAAGAGACTTCAGAAAATTTCAAAAACATTTCCCTTGAATCAATTGAAAAACCTTATTTTAAAACTGAAAATAACTATAACACCAGTTCAGACTTCAATATCATAAATTGTACAACAAAATGTAATTCTAATGAATTAACAAATCAGTTGATTCTATCTACAAAGAGAGAAATTAAGGATGATTCATCCTTATCTTTTGATAAAGGAAAGACTTTATCTTTAGGTATTTCAAATATTAAAAAGAATGAAAATTGTTCTTCAAACTACCAGTATTTTTGTGTTATTTGTGATGAACGGTTTTCAAGCAAATGTTTACTTACTGTTCACCAAGTACAACATATCAAGTCTGATCGTAGTAGTTATGGAGTTTTTATGGCTGCATTAGCCAGGTCTGCTTAAATTTTTAAAAGTTTATCCTAGCTCTATTCCCCATTAATTTAATTATTTCATCTCGTGAGAAATAAAAAATGCCAGGATTTTATTTTGAAAATATTCTATTAATAATTAATTTAATGTAGTTTGTTTTGTTCATCATAAATTGTTTTTGTAATGATATTTTCCCTTTATAAATTTGAGTTCCTCAATATGATGTTAGCCTACTGAATGTTTTTTTTTTTTGTGAACAGTATGTATTTATATTTATAATAAAATAGATAAGTAACCTAAATATCAACAAATCAATCTTTTATTATATATTTATTCCTTTTAATCAAATTTTTTAAATAATTGTTTTTTTTGTATTAAATCCTTTAAAAAAAATTTATATCATTATTCAAGTTAATCATAAATAAGATTAATGATAAGGTCTTATAATTACAACTGTATTTCATTAGAAGTAACCATAGCTTATTGATACTTTAGTGAAAATTTTTTTGTTATGAATAGTGAGTTGAAAGAAACAACTATTTAACTATTATATTTTGTTATTTTTTTTTATAGATTCACCATTTTTTTTAAATATATAATTTAAATGTATTACATTGTACCTTACATTTTTTTTTACATAAATGATACAAATTTTTTTATATTTTTTTATTTTAATTGATCTCCTTCCTTAAAATTTCCAAGGAAAATAACACACATATATATAATTATTTATTATAATTTCAGTAGTTTAAGTAGTAACTTATTGTTTAGTAAATTGGTTGTAATTATCTGAATAATTTGCTTAAGAATCAGAGGAATATATCAATCAAAAAATTATACTTCATTATTTTTAGAATTATGTGATTTTAAACATATTTTAACTAAAGCTCTAACTTCTAACTATAAAAGTTCTATTGTTGTAATAACAAATTTATAAAAAAAATAGATGAATTTTTTTAGAAAAAAACATTTCTTTTGGTCGATATTTTATTCTGATTCTACACCAATGAAATATTACTTAGTAAAAAGAAAATGTTCTTACGCAACAATGTAATATTTATTTTATTTGAGTTTTATAGAAATTTACATGAGTTTATTATTATTTAAACAATATGGAAGTATAAAAATTAGTTATTCTAGAAACCAAAGCTCTTCCATATGGCTAGATAATGGTAAAGCATAATTGACAGGTTTTTCAAAAGTTAAACTAGCTTTTTGTACATCACTTTTGTACTCGTCAGCAATCATCTGGAAAATAATAATAAAAAATAAAATTATTTAAAAAAAAATGGTAGAACAGCACAGTGTGGATGTAATAAAGAAAAAGATATCAGTTAGTTGATATAGAACCATTTGTGAATATCATGTATTTAGTCGGAAAAATTGGTGAGATATAATTTTTAAAGAAATTATTTACGGAAGTTGCACGAAGAGAACGGAGGATTGAAGGAGGAAAGTCAAAAGAACACGTTAAAGTATACACTATTGAAGCTAGTGTGAGGGCAAATAGAGGACAATAAAATAATTTGGAGTGTGGCTTGTAAATGTGGCAGATCATGGGTGACGGGGAAGAGCAGCATAGTGAGACCAAAATTGGCAGTGATTTAGGCTCGTAGTGCCAACAATTACTTAGTTTAGAGTATAAGGACTAGATATGATTGTTAGGGGTAAAGAGGTCATAGGAGAAATTTATTAGCAAGCAAGTGACAGCGGATTTCGAGGAGGGAGAGGAGCACTCAACAAAAATACTTTGGCTCGGGGTAGACTAAAGAACATCAAGAATGCGGGTAAAAAGGAATTTAGTTTTTTCCTATGGGTATAGGAAGCTGAAGAAAATAAAAAAGAGCCGCATTCAATTTTAGCGCGGATAACCGATTTAAAAATGAGAAGTAATGAGGAGGGATGTGAGCCCCACGATGTTCCAGTATACAGCATAAGAAATTTGCCCAGCGGTGGAGAGAATGAAACAGAAATGTGGAAATCATCTCAGCTTAAGATCTAGTTTGAGGCCTAAACGAAAAACGCAATAAAAAGGGAGGGGGGAGGGGTGATAATCCCATAAAGAGTAATTATGAGAGAAACAGACGGTAAGCGGTATGCATTTGAAGAGAGTTAGAGAGAAGGGTAAGTGAGTTAAGGGCATTGTGAATGTATATATGAGAGAGAAGGACAATATCGACGGCATAGAAAAGTGAACATTTTGCATTAGAGGTGAGGGAAAAGCTTATTTTGCACAAGTAAATATTAAAAAGTAGAGGACTAAGGTAGCTGCCCTGTGGGAGGCCGCGGTAGGAGGTGCGATTTAATAATAAGCCGGAAGGTGAAGTAAACATAAAGAAACTATGTAAAGAGACGTGAAATAAAATTACCAAGTAGGGGGTATAACATCTTATGTTATGTTATGTGAAAGGAAAATTAGAATAGGAATATGCACAGAATCGAGAGCTCATTTGATGTCAACAAAAACAGCAGGACAATAAAATTTATCACAAAAAGTTTGTAAATACAGGTCGTGACAGTAGATAAACACACTCCATGGTGCACCGCTTCGAAACTTGTATAAGTATGTTATTAAAAAAAAAAAAAACCAATCAAGGTGGTTCTTGATAATATGTTCGACTACTTTCCAAAGAGCAGAGGAAAGAGCAATCGGACGAAATGCAACGGATGCTGAGTTAAATTTATGAACAGGTATAACGTTAAAATTACGTCAGGAGTTAGGAATAACTCCTTGGGGCCATAAAGAATTGAGAATAGCTAAAAGAAGTTCAAGGTAATGAGAAGGGAGATGTTTTAGAACTAATGGAGAAATTCCATCCAAACAAGAGGTGTAACGCGAATAGATCGCATAGGAAATTTCATTGAGTGTAAACGAAGAAGCAAGAGAATGGAAAGGATGAGAATTAAGAAAAGAGTTGGGATCAAGAGTAGATTCTTCCAAGGAATAGACGTAGGGAGAACCACCTTACTACAAAAGGGATCAAACCATGATTTGTTAAAAGAGTCAGTTTTATATACAGTTTTTAAATTTTTTTGGTAATAACCCATGTATTGGACAGGCTAGATAAAGGATTAAGTGAGAAACAGAAGGAACGCCAGGACATAATTTTTGCCTGTTTAAGTGTTTTTTGAACAGAGAAGCGTACCCTTTGGTACTCAAAAAAGTCGCTTAACAGATCTAGATGATCTATATTTTTTAAACACTTTAGTGCGTTCATTGACAGCGTAGGTACAAGAGGGAGACTATATTACTGAGGAGAGAAAGGACTTTTTATTTTTTTTAATTAAAAGAACGGACAATTTAGCGACTTTAATAATTGTAGATACAAACCAAGTCTTCGAAGGGTGAGGAGGAGGAGAATTCAGAGGTGAAAATGGTCATTTAATTTTGAAATGATGGCCTATCAACATTCGAATAATTAAATCTGTTAATTGTGATGGATGAGGAAGAGGGTGAAAGAATTTGTGTGGGAGATAATAATGAGAAAATTATAACTATCATGTGAGCAGTCTAAGTCAGATCACGAGAAAGAGAGATGAAATGGTAATTTAAGATATATATAAAAGTGTCAGACTTTCCGGAACATTTTCAAAAGTCAAGTTGAAAAAATTAATTTTTGTGAAAAAGTTGTCATTTTAAATCTCCCCCTGTGGGCAAGTAAAGGGTCAGATATAAAAAAAAATATACCAAATGAAAGGTAATGATATCATGCATCTATATAAAAAAAAAAAATTGATTTGGTTATTTTTAAAAAAGTTATGGAAATTTTAAGTAAAAAAAAAATTGAAAAAATTTCGAAAATTAGTGATTTTTAAATTTGTAATTTTTTTGGAGGTTTCCCCCATTTACGGGGAACGAGGGAAATTTTTTCAATTTTTAAGGGTAATGTCTTCGACTAGATACGATTTGTGATCTTTTGACGTATCTTTGAAAGAAATCCGTTCGGTGAGAGCTGAGAAAAAGTGGTAACAGACACAAAAAAAAACACATAATAGTAAAACCAATACGTTCTCAGCTTCGCATCGAAGCTAAAATGTTGTCAATTAGTTTAGAAGAAATAGGGTTAATGTGAATAGTATGTATATGGGAGGCAATGGCTGCGCCGTCAAAACCGTCGATATGACAAATGTTGAACTGTGAAAGAGAAACACGTTTGTTTGTAAGGAGCCAAGTTTGAGATAGGAAAGGAAAGAACATTTATTGTTAGAGAGAGAATAGAAAGATCGTTTATTCTCTAGGAGATTAACTTCTTACGTTCAATTGAAGAATGTTGAAAGAAGGATAGTTAAGATTACTGCTTAAACGTGTCGTCATTGTCAGATAAAGGATAGTGGGTGTTTATTGATGAAGACTCGATAATTGATTAAAGTATTGAAGGAAAAGAAATTAATTTAGGATCGCGTGCAAGTAGCTGAGCGATATGTTGCGATAAGCAGGCAATCCAGTTGCGGTTATCCAAGTTTATATTACGATTTTGGAACATATATTTCAAAAAACTGTCATAAATTGAAATGGGCCTAGGAAAGTTATTCGATAAAGGAGGAAAGTGAGGAAAGTTGAGTTTAATTAAATTTTTGTTTGTGGCCATTAATTTTTTAATGTCCTTTTGCACAGACCACTCACTGCAAGATCTATCCGTCACAGGGTGATTAAGTTTACAAAATATGCACGAAGGAGAAGTGGTTAACTTGACGTTACAATTAGATTCAGTGTGGTCAAAGAGGCCGCATTACTGCAGTGCTCCTTACTGCGACAGAACTTGAGGGTGTGACCAAATCGAACACTTTCGACAGAAGAACGAATACTCAGAGAAACATCAAAAATAACTTTATATATTGATAATTTTAAAGGAAGCGTCGCTGACAAAAATTTAAGTTCAACAAAATTTGAGGAAACATGGTTGTTATCTTTTTTTGTATTAATACATCTAAATGAAACAACTTTGACTGATATTCATGACCTTCCCAAAAGTCTTTTTCAGAGATACTTTTGTCTAGATGTATGATTACAATACTATATAGTAAAGTACTAAAAATATTTGTAAAGTAGCCGTGTTCAATAAGAGAACGGGAGGTAAGGTAATTTTTGGCGTTATTAACCGAATCAAATGTGATTTCAACACGTTTAGAACCGATAGGGTTGATGATAAGAATACCAGAAAATAGTTTGGAGAAAGTTTTCCGGAAATTGACTGGGTGAAAATAGCTTAAGTTATTATCACCAGAAGTAGAGACAAGTACATTAATTAAGTGTAGGAAAGCATTAGGGAACATTAAATTGCCCAACTGTTGATGTATTAGGAGAATCGACATAGAGCGAGTTTATGTTTGAAGTTGGGGAACCGGGTGACGTTACAACGATGACTTCTGGTGAACTGCAATCCATGCTGCTAATTTGAGATGGGAATCATTAGAATCATTAAAAATTGATTTACCGTAGGATTTTTGTTTAAAGGCCTAGTTGGAGATTTAGAGCCTTGATTGCTCTTACCAAAATTACGTGAATTATCCGTGGATATTCGTGGGTTGGAAGTTTGCAAAGTGCTTCTACGGTGCAATAGAGTGGTACTGATCACCTCCTTCTGGATTGCATCCAGAATCCCGGTGAGCACCGTAAATGTGCCTAAAAGGCGAAACACTGGTTTCAAAACTGGTAAAAACACTGAATAAACACTTAAACAGAATAGTACTCTAAAAATAGGCTGGAAACTACAAACGTATACTAGATAAACACGTTCGTGCAATGCGATTGATAAATCGTAACTGAATATACAAAATATAATTATAAATATTTCAATTGTAGTATTTATTTAAACACCAAGAGTTTCATTGATATGACTACTATGATTTTTATTGAATTGAATTATTTCGATAATTGTACAAAAAAGTTATAGCAAATTTAAATAAAAATAAAAACGGTAATTTTACAGCTTACTTGTAAACTCAGTTCATCAGGAGTTTCACTCTTGTAAATAATAAGTAATCAGTATACTTACACTTTCATATGAATTTTCTAATAATTCTCCCATGTCCCATTCCATCTGTGGTAGTTTTTTAAACAAAAAAGTAACAGATTTTGATACATTTGGTAAAATATGTTGTTTAAGTGACACAAGTTCCCACAATGAACTATCTAATGCATTTGATTTTAATGGATCTTTTTCATCAAATATATAAGGATCTGATGAAACTACATATAAAAACATTTTATATTTATTTAAATTATACATAAGTTATAATAAAAAATAAATTATCACACATACCAATAGAATTATCTTGGATCATAATTTTTAGTGATGGATGTCTAATAAGTAAGTTTCCAATAAGTACAGCCATTATTTTAATATCCATAGGTGGAGCAATTAATGAGAGCCTTGCCAAGCGTTTAATGAAAGCAGCAACTAAAAGTTCTGGCAAATGTCTAAATTAATAAAATAAAAAAAGTAAGAAAAGAAATTTAATATCTTTACTTTATCATAACTATAATTATAATAATACAATATAAGAACAAATGATTAAACTTTGATACTTACGTTGATCTTAAAAAAATATCTGTTAAATAAAATAGTCTAGTTTTATATCGATAATTGAACATATCTGTTCTAAAAAAGTTATACAGCTTTCCATAAACATTGGGACATTCTCTGAAAAATGATTGTTATTAAAACCATTTACTTTATAGCATTTAAAACAATTTATAACATATTACTATTGTTTAAATGTTAAATTTGATTTAATATGTTTTGGATAAAATGTTTGTTATGAGTTAGTACTGTAGACCAAGCTATTATACTGATGTGCAGGGCTCAAAAGTTGATACACTTTACTTTTTGTTAAACAAACTAAAAATAGACCAAGTAATAAACAATTCCATTTCATTAGGAATTTCTATATAAGAATGTTTTTTTAATTTTAATTATGTTTTTATAACAATTTTTTGAAATTTAAAAATAAATTCAATAATTATGAAAATATATGATTTTTTCCTCAAAGTATCAGTTAGGTGTAACATTTTGAGAAATGGTTTATTAATATTTTAAATATTAATTAATAATTATTTTTATATTAATATTAAAGAATTTAGTTTAGTTTATTGGTATCAAGCATAAAAAAAAAACCCAGCACAGGAAGGTCGTGGCACAGTGGTGACATGGCATAGTTGGATCAAGTATAATGATATCTAACAGTGATTAAAATCACTATAAAAAAAAAAAACGCTTCGATGCAAATCTTTAGATAGTGTTTAATTTTAAAAATTGGTGGATTATTCCAAAAGCTACATGATCTGCTGGTTCCTTATTTCTTTCCTGAATGAAAAAGGGATTATTAAAAATATTATTTCTCATAAAAAAATTATGTTGATCCATACATTTTTCAATAAGTTATAGCATTATAAAGTTAAAAATGTAAAAAATAAAATCGATAATGTTCTCACAAAAATAGCATTCNGTTAAAAATGTAAAAAATAAAATCGATAATGTTCACACAAAAATAGCATTCGGTAGCCATTTTCACCACGAAGACAAGTCCAGAGGTCAAATTTTTTTTTCCATAATAAAGAACATTACATTAGCTTTAATTATGTTATTTTTTATATAAGATATGTGATCTTAAGATTGCTGTAAAAAAATATTAACCATTGTACAACATATTTTTTTATTTAAACATATAAACTAAATAGAACACAGAAACAGTAGATCAGGAAAAATAAAAATATCATTCTAATAACTGTATCATAAAAAATAAGTTATTTTATTTTTACGATTTATGTAAAGCCCTTATTATAGCAAATATTCCATTAAATAGTTTCAAATAATGCCTTGAAAATTTTTTACAAAAACATATAAATTAATGTATTTCTATAGAATCCTCTTCATGAAAAATATGTTTCTTTATTTTACAATGAGGCTATAAATAAAATAAAAATGTATTGTGAATTTCTTTAGATAAAACGCACAGAGGTAATATTATTACTAGCACTTTAAAAGTAGGGATTCTTGGGCAAATATTTTTATTTGATTCAAATGTGATTGAAAAAGTTGTATAAAATTTGTTGTCTGTAATTGTCATTCATTAATTATATAGAATATTAAACATACACTTATTGTGTAATGTAAAAATATAGATTAATTTGGAAGTTAAATTTAAATGTATTTTAATTAGTAAGAGAAAAAGATAATTTTTTTTTTTTATGTTATTTTAATTTTAATTAAATTAAAAAAGAAATATGAAGTCATTATTTTGCATATTTCAAAGTGTTAAATCATTATTCCTCATTTTGAGGTTTATTTTTTATTTTTTAAGTTTTTTGTTTAATAACTAAATATGAACTCATACATAATCTATTATGTTAAAATTAATAAAAAGTGTTAATTGTTTTATATTAGATATGTACAAGGCATTCTCTGTATGTTGAAAATTAAAGATATTGGTAGTAAGCACTTTAAAATTTATAATAAAAGGTAAAATTTTTGTCCGACTTATATATTTAAAAAAATTGTTTACTTTTTTAAGAAAAATTGATATTGTTATAAAAGTAATATTAATATGAAAAATTATATTGTTGTCAATTATTACTACTTGACACTTAAAGCCTTTTCTTACCATGGAACCCTTACCTATGAGTAGCTTTATTAAAAAACAGTTTTATTACTTACAAATTATAATCTTTTACTAAAATGAAAATTCCTTGTAATCCAAGTATTGCTATTGGTCCAGCTAGATAAATAAAAATATACTTTTAAGTAATTTTTAAGTCGTAAAATTATTATTCAATATATTAATACTAACGAATATCCATAGAAGACATGAGAAAATCTACTGTTAATACTGGATTTGTTAAATTAACTAGCATTTTCTCAATTAATAGGGTCAACATATCTCTTCTTATTTTATTATTTATAAGCATGTATGGTCTCATCTCTTCCCAAACTGTTGTAGCCCATGATTTTACTTGGTCACTTTGATATTTAAATATAGGCCTTCCTTAAAGTAAAATAAAAGTATAAATAAATAATTTAATAAAAATTGATCACACGTGGATAATATAATTAAAAGCTAACACGATATTAAATTTAAATAAATTGATGAAATATTTTAAAGTATTAATAAAAAAAAAACATTACTAACTTGCATTGTAAAATAATAATTTTTGTTTTTTTTCCTGAGAACAAGGTATTTTAATACTTCCCATTATGTTAACAAAAGTGAAAATATTTATTTTATTTTCATCCAATTCTTTTACTAACGATGCAAAACATTCCCATGAATAATAACAAAAATCTAAATATTCAAGATATTCAGTCAATATGTCTTCCCATTGAATATTATCAGAAGTTATCATACACAGATAAATAGCCTTAAAAAAATTTAGTTTTGATGAAATTGAAAATAATAGATCTTTTGTTAAATAAAAGTATAAGTCATATCAAAGTTCATTGAATTAAGTTTGAATAGATAAGTATACCTTCAAATGCTTAGTAGGGAAATAATATTTCTTCTTAATAATTTTGTCAGTAGGATTTTTGATTTCATTATTAAACTTTTTTATTAATAATTTTAATTCGCTCATATTCATTGTTTGAAAAAAATAGTGTAATATAAAATAAGTGTTATAAATTATTGTCTATTAATATTAATTAACCACATAAGGCAATTAAAATTGAAATAACATAATAATAAAGAAATAGAACAATAAAATAAATAATATATGTTAAAATTAGAATTTGAAGTATGAAAGATTTAAATTTTAAAGTAATTAAATATTATTGTTATCAAGTTTTTCCGCATGCTTATAATCAAAAAATAAATAGTACATTATTGTATCTCACGTGTATATACAGTAAATAAAAGAATGGATAGGTTGTTATTGTACTAACACAAGATATCATATGTTGGGAATGAGGAAAAGAGATAGACTTTATCATAACGCTATCTTACTCTAGCAAAGGTTCTTATCTTATACTATCGATGCTTGTAAAACATAGAATTAATAATCTTAAAACTATAGGAGAAAATTATTTATAATCTAAAAAAAAATATCAAATAAATTTCTTTATTATTTATACAAAGATTAATTATCTATTCTATATAAATAACCCTTTAATCGATTTATAAAATAGATAGCAAATAGATAACGACTTGATAACATGCAGCATCGCCCAATAAGAAATTTATTGTTGGTGAAATAAATTTAAACATTTTAAATCTATTGAATAAATTTCTTATCGATAATATTAATAATTTTAAAACCAATGTTAAATTTTTGAGAATCATGAACTGTTTTTACTTTATTATTTATAAGGTTAAAGAGTATATTTGACAAATTGTTACACTTTTAAGTAGTTCAATTATGTATGATTTTAAGTTCATAGATTCAGTCTAATATTTTTCTTAATAATTCTTAAATGAGATACATCGTGATATGAAATATAATTTATTTTAATGATCAACTTAATATTTTAAAAATTACAGTTAATTCAAAAATAGGAAAAACATTTTTAAATCATATAGCTCATGTTATAAAATAAAATACTTCTTTTAGAAATATGATTCTAATTCAAAAACATTTTTTTATGTTAAATAAGTATTCAGGTAAATCTTTAAACATTTCTTTTTGAATTTTTTAAGTCATCAAAAATGTTTACACTACATTCTACATATTATATGACCATTTACCCTCTTATTAAGTTGTATGAAGAGTTTGTAGCAAAACATTATTTATAGAAAACGGATATTTTGTTGTTTATTGAAACATAAAATTTTAACACATAATTCATAACAACATAAGATATAAATAAAAATTTATTTATTGTAGTAACTAACTGTTATAAACGAAGCTCAACCAAAAAATTGTGTTAGCTCATAGTTTTTAGTCATGCCATTTAATTTACTAGAATGCTTTTTTTATTCATGCTTAATAGATACAACTTGAATGTTTTTATTAATATTTCATTTTGTTTATTTTAGGATACAACTCAAAATTTTATTTAAAAATAGGTACACGATTTGTTTATCAAATAAATACTAAGAAATTTTTAAAAACAACCATTAATTGTGGCCAACCTACTTATGAAACACATCCTCATTTGTTGTGTAAAAATGAAGTAAGTAATAATTATAATTATAATTTATTCCTAGGATAGGTTTAAGATTATTAAAATGAATAATGATTTTTGGTAACATTTTCCACAATTTAATGTTTCTTGAACTTACTACGGTTTTTTATAGTAGTATTCAAACATTATTATTTATAATATATTAACATATTTTAACAAAGAAGTTTCTTATTAGGTCTAAGTAAAGTAATTGTAAATTCATTTATTCTCTTAGAAAATTTAGCAAATTTTATTTTAGATTGGAAAGTTCTGGTTTTTATACTTGTTACTATAATATTAAATAAGTTTAAAATAAACTTGTGCATTTATAGAAAAAAATTTATTCACAATCACACTTTTTTTGATAAATGGAATAAAAATGTAGTTAAAGTTTATTAGGATTGAGATATTTTTAATAGAGTAGTCTTCAAAATCAACTTAAAATCGACTGAAGGACTCTATGAAACATAACATAAACTTTCTAAATTAATTATTTTGTTAAAGTGTTTATATTTAAAACATTTCATTAATTTGAAATATTTTTTAATACGTTTCAGTGAAATATTTCAATTTCTTTTGTTTCATGATATTTTAAATCACTAGCTAACTACCATAATATAACTTCTATAATCATACGTTTGAGTCCTATAACCTTATTAACTTTTTACTTTTTATAAAAATAACTTTTAATTGAAGAATTTCCAAATAGTTCAGTGTATGTTAAACATTTTTGAAAAATTGTTTTTACATGGATTGGTGAAACTTATTATAGCTTTAAAATTAATGTACATATTTTTTATATAGGTGAACATCAAGTGTTTTTAAAATGAATTGAAAGATAGCATACATAGGGCGATTTCAATGGAATTCATTTTGCTTTTTTGTCTTGCAAAATTTGTTTCTTTAGCATACACCGATCTCTTTGAAAGGTTTCAGTTATTAATTTGTGGCTAATGTGAACTAATTTATTTTCTTATTTTTAAAATTTTACATTAAGTGACTTATTTTATCATATAAAAACTAAAGTTTATCTTTTATATTATATGAATGTAACATATTTAATTAATAATTTTTTTTTCAGGTTATTCCAGGAATAAAAAAAGAAGAATTTTTATCTAGACAACGCAGTTTAATGAGATCTGTAGTAACCAGAAAAAGTGATGTCTATCATATACTAGTTATACCATCAGCTGTAAGAAAATACATGTCTGATCATATTCCATATCCATTTCGTCAAAATTCTGATTTCTTATATCTTAGCGGATGTCAAGAAACAGATTGTGCTCTTGTATTATTTGGTGATTCAGACAGTAACTTTTCATCAACTTTATTCTTAAAACCACCTGATCCTCAAGCTGAATTATGGAATGGCCCTAGTTCAAGTAAGTCATATCAAGAAAAATAGTATTATAAGTTGTATTTGTATAGGAAAATTTTGAAGTGATTATCATTTAAAATTTATTACTATGCACTATTTACTATTTTTGATAAATTTGTCAAAAAAATTTGGAATTTTTTTGGAGTTAGAAAATTATTATTGAAAGAATATTCAATCTTGTAAACTATTAATTTATTATTTGCTTAATACGTTATACAATGTTTTTCAAATATTTTTGATAATATAGTAATTTTCTGAGGATATTTTTTAATTTTGTGTTGTATAAAATAATCATAATTTTAACTGTATGTATGTGTATAATTAGGAGCTGATGATGCCTCATTTATTTTTGGAGTCACAAATGGTAAAATTTTGCCTCAGCTCTCAAGTTTCTTAACCAATAAGATTCAAAACCATAAAAAGTGTGTATTATGGTATAATCAGAAACAAAAAGTGCAGAGTTTTGTTGATAAAACTGTAAATAGTGTTGCTCTTGAAAACAAAATCTATGTAAGATAATATGTTTGTTGTTAAATCAATAAGTTAATTATTATATATTAGCACAGGTTTTTGAGTGTTTAAAATTTATATTTACTTTATGTAATTAATGTCTAGATTTTTTTAAATAGATAAAATTTATGAATTCATTTTAAATAATGTGTGATAATTAAAAATTTTCATTTACATATGATAATTTTTAGATTAATGATTCATTAGACAATCATTGTCACAAATTACGGTTGTATAAGTCTTCATCAGAACAAAAATTGATGCGAAAAAGCTGTCAAATAGCCTCAAAAGCTTTTATTAAAGCTATGAAATCAACAAAACCTGGGTCTACAGAACATGAACTTTATGCTACAATAGATTACGAATGTCGAATGGGAGGAGCTGAATTTCTTGCATATCCTCCTGTAGTAGCCTCTGGTATCAATGCTAATACATTACATTATATTGATAACAAACAAAAAATTTCAAATGGAGAATTGATTCTTGTTGATGCAGGTACAAACAAATTTGTAAATAATTATGGATTATTTAATTTTTTATTATTTACATAAATATTTTCTGTAACATTGTGTTAATTTTTTTAATGATTTTATGAAAATTAAATTAATTAATTATTTTTTGAAGCTGTAGAGATTAATTTTAATTTATTTATTTAATCTTCTTTTTTACAAATTTGCAGGGTGTGAGTATCATGGATATTCAAGTGATATATCTCGTACATGGCCAGCAAATGGAAAGTTTACTGATACCCAAAAAACTTTGTACGAGGCAACATTGAGTGTTCAAAAAGACTTGATAGAGATGTGTCATGCAAGATCTTCTTTAGATGCATTGTATGATGCTATGTGTTATAAACTTGGTAAAGCATTATCTGAAGCGCATGTATTTAAAAAAAATGTTCAGGATCCCAAAGATTTGGCAATGGTATATTAATTTTTTTAATTATAATAATTTATCTATAAAATTTAATTAAACTAAAGGTTTCTAAATTTTATTTTTTACTATTTGCTAAAAAAAAAATTTCATCAACACCTCCCTTGATGAAAAAATAATTGTTACACTTAAAAATTATTTTGTGCAGCCAAAACTTTTGGTTTCCTTTTCTGAATTGTGATTGTAACTCTTCATCTGTGGTCAGTTCCATTAATTCTTCTTCTAGTTTATTTTATTCGTATCTATATTTATATATATACCAGTCGGGTATGTTTATTATAAGAATATCCTTAAATTATTTGATAAAGTTGTAGTGCAAAACTTTCAAGTTTTGACAAGTAGTTACACCTTAGTTACTTGTTTGCTCTATTGACAGATTTGGAAAATTAATAAAATTCTTTCATTTCCAAATTTTGTACGTACAAACCTAAAAATAATATTTTTTGTTTATATTAAACAAGGACTATCACCTTGAAGCAGTATATTTGTTTTATTAATTTTTATAATAGATCAGTCAAATAAGCAATGCCATTTCTAAATTTAATTAATTTTTTTCCCAAAATATCATCTCTGGTCTTTTAAACTAATATAGAATCTCTCTTGGAAGTTGGAATATAACCCTCAATTAAGGTTGTAACCTTCATAATGCATCCTGAATAGTTCTAATGTCCACAAAATAGAGATATCAATTTAGGAAGCACTGAATTAAATTAATCTTATTGTGTTGTATTTTGAAGTATTAGTAATAATAATAGATCTATTTTATTTATTTTTTAACGGATTTCTAAAAATAACTAATTCTTTAAACAAACTATAACTTTTAATACTTACAAAATCTATTCACTAAGATGAATTTATTTCATAAACAATAAACTTATATGAATTGTGTTCAATTAAACATTTTTTTTATAATTCATACATTTTACTTTTTAGATATTTGTTAATTAAAAAATGTTTAGTTTGCTGATTTAACTAATTATTTCAGTGGTATTATTCTTTAATTTAAAAGTATAGTAAATAAATGTGTTATTATTCAATAACATTTATTTGCATAACTAATCAAGGAGGATAGCTACAAAAATAAAATTCAGGCTAAGTGCGTGCTATGTATATATATATATATATGATATGATTTTGAGCCTCAATAAGTAAAAAGGAATAACTGAATTCTATTTTCATTTTTCGAGAGGAACTGAAAAAATAATGATTTTTTCTTAATACCTAATTGAACAAAATTATTGAATTTTTTTCACATATCAGTTTAATTTAGGTTATTAACATATTTTTGAATATATATTAGCTCATGATCAATTTTGATTTTGTAACATAAATGAAATGTTGCTTCCATCTAACCTTATAATGAAAATAAAAATCACTAAGATTAATATTAAAACAAAGATTATTGAACACCTCAATTCACCAGAAATTTAGAAGTATTGTGATAATGTATCCCATTTTTGTCAAAAGTGTCAATTACACTTTTTATCTATTAAAAGGCTTAGTAAAAAAGTGTATATGTTTATCTTTTGTTCAATCATTTATTTTAGCCTTAAAAACCATCATTTTCTTAGAAAAAATGATATCTCATTGTTTATATTTAAATATTTTAAAGAAAAAAATATATAATTTGAAATAGGTATTTTTAAAGTGCTATTTTTGTAAAAAAAAATTTAATGCAGATCTAGAAATGTTTTNACATTATTTATTATGCAAAAAAATACTATCTAAAACTTAAAATAATAATATGACTTATATAAAATACCCGTACCAAAAACGCAACGTTCAATTATATTTATACAAAATGATATTCAATTAAATTAGTCGATTTAGAATTTAAAGCGGGCCGTATTCAATAGCCACGCGGGCCGGATACGGCCCGCGGGCCGCCGGTTGCCGACCACTGGTATAGATGAATTAACTTATATTTTATTATTATTATAGTTGTCAAGAACATTATGTCCACATCACGTCAGTCATTACTTAGGTATGGATGTTCATGATACTGGCACTGTAAAAAAAAATATTGAGATTGAATCTGGTTTTATATTCACAGTAGAACCTGGTAAGTTTTTAAGAGGTACAATACTTTTAATAAATTTTATGCTGAAAAAAACATTTTTGAAATGAAAGAAATTCTGTTTTTTAAATTTTAAGCATTTCTAAAAAAAAACTGTTTAGTATAAAATAAATGAAGAAGATGTGAAAACAATAGGTTATCAGTCCATTTTGATTTTTTTTTCTTCAAATTTTTATGGGAATTTAAGGCATGTTAAATGAAGAATTTTTTGGAATTTTTGTTATATTTAAAGCTATTTTATAAAAGAAAAATGTCTCACTAATAATCATTTTTGTGGTATAAGTGAATTTTTTTATATTAACAGATTTCAAAAAAAAAAAAAAAATTTTCAGAGTAAAATCAATAGTTTTTAAGATTATGTTGATGCTAAATTATTGTATTTTTTAAATTACCATTTTCTATAAAAATATTAGTTTATTGAATAAATTTTTAGAGTATTTTACACTTGACCTGCCCTGTAAATATATCTCTGACATAGTCATTTTAAATAACAAAATATAATTAAGATTTTTATATTTAATTGCATACTCATAAGGACATTTGTTTTGTAATATTCTAAAATATTGTATTATAGCCAATTTAATTTAATTAAATTATAAATTTATGTTATATATGTATAAAAATTGGCTGATAATTATATTTATATTTATGTTCTAGGTGTTTACATTAATCAGAACAACAATTTTGTTCATGATGAATTTTTGGGTTTGGGTATAAGAATTGAAGATGATATATTAGTAACAGATAATAGTATTGAAGTATTAAGTGCAAATTGCCCAAAAGAAGTGGAAGATATTGAACGAATAATGTCAATCAGTAATAATTGAATAGTGATAATAATCTAGTTCTTGTTAAATCATTTTAGTTGAGTTACTTCTATCATTTTACTTTTGGATGTTCTATAAATTTTATAATCAATTTTTATTAAAATTTTGGCTGTGTTTATTGTGTTAAAATAAATAGTTAAAATGTTGTCTTTTCCTAAAATAAACTATTATGCCTTAAATTAAGAACCCTAATTGTTAAAAGATAACTATCAAGTATTAAAGTAATTTAAATCTTATATTTTATTTTCACAACTTTTAGTGGATACATTTGATGTTAACTATAGCATCTAAATATTGTAAAAATGTACAAACATTAACAAATTATTGGACATTGTTATAATTAAAGTGAATTAATATTTTTATCAAATTTGACATTTATCAAACAGGTTAATTGACCAGTAAGCTAAAAAAGAATAACAAAATAAATAATAGTTGACTATTATAATTATATTTTGCATAACTTAACAGAGTTTTTAAGAATTCATAGTAGCCAGGAAACAAATTTATCTGAAGATATTTTACAGATTATTTAAATCTGTATCTAAAGCTGTAAAATGGATTTGAACCCTAAAATCATTCTAACACAAAATTTTAAGGATGCAAAAGTAATCACTTTTACCAATTGTTACAAATATTTTAATATAGTATAAAGGGAAAAATTGTAAATTTGCGCAAAGTTGAAAATGATGAAAGTTTAGAATTATATCTCATGTTTACTGCCGGAGACCAAAATAATACAATTTGATTTCTTTTATGATCCAAAAATACATTAATTAAAATTTGTACTAAGAAGTCCGAGAAAATTTTGTTTTAATTGATGGTATTTATGATGTACATATGTTCAAATTTAATCTTAAAAAGAAAAGTTTTGGTTTTAAACCACAAAGTGGATGATATCAACATCGTCCAAATTTTTATAAACATGATTTTTGGTCTATTTTACTTTTATATTTTACATTTCATCATTATTACTTTTTTTTGCCTATTTTTTTATAATACTACTACCGTTATGTTCGGCGGTTTCTTTTGAGGTCTTTTTACTCAGATTTATAATTATCATCATTTTTTCAAAAATAAAAATGTTTTCATTAAATTTTATTGAATCAACACTATCCAAGTTATTGATCAAAATGATAATAATTCGTCAAATTTATTAAATAACTTACTTTACTTAAATTTCTTATTTCCTCCGTTCTTTTACTTTGTACAATTGTATTGAAAATTTTTAAAGAAGTCAAGCATAACGGTAGTAGTAATTTGACCAGGCCCGCATTTAGGGGGGGGCATTGGGGGCATTTGCCCCGGGCGGCAAATATCTTAATAGGTATACAATTTTTAAAAATTAATTATTTTTATTTAATTTAAAATTTTTTCAAACAGAACAATTTATTTTTATGAAACAAAAATATCTATTTCTAAAAAAAAATATTACTTTATTATTTTCTAATTTAAAACGTGTACAAAGATATAAATGTAAAAGAAGATATATCAAAGCTGTATAACAACATATACTACAGTTAGTAGTTAGATAATAGTATTGATTATACATAGTAATTTTTATAATCAACAGCACTATAAATAAAGTAGGCGGCAATTTATTTGATTCATGTTTTTATCTAATTTTAACAAAGTATTGATATTTTCTCCCTTAAACTGGTTTTATGGATGTCGTCGGCCGTTGATAGTCGATTATTATTGGAATACTAAGAAAGTTAAAACACAATAATTTGTCTCATTTTTCACAAAATTACTATCTAATAATGTCACACTAATAATGTGTTGTGTACAGACAGCTCATTGTGTTTAGTACTCGACTACAAGTGACCGAGTTAATATGTTGAGGTGTTTTTTTTTATTTGTATATTTTATTATTTATTAACGTATTAAAATGAGAGATGGCAGAAAACGTTTAAGTGGAAGTGCTTATAAAAAAGTTGCTAAATTAAAATTAGAAAAAGAACAAAAAGTCATTTCTCAAACCGCAAAATTAACTTCATTTTTTGGCAATCAATCTCCAATTCGCCAAGTGAAATAGAGACTACAGCTGAACAGATTTTAAATGAGTCTAGTGATAAAAAGTAATTTAAAAATCAAATGTTAACTTTTGTACGTTATTTCAGTTTTATATAAATGAAAAATTTTATAATTTTTTAGTGAACATCCTCTACATAGTACTTTTGAAACCATGGCAAATGAAAATCAATTAATTGAATATTCGGAATTATTAAATACGCCAACTAAAAAACCCAATCCAACACTTTTGGGGGGCGGCAAGATTAAGTGCACCAGGCGGCAAAATTCCTAAATGCGACCCTGAATTTGACGAAATAGATAAAAAAGTAACAATGTAGGAGAAAAAAGTAAAGTAGAGTAGAAAGATAGACTAAGAGCCATGTTTATAACGTTGATAAGGTTGACATCTAACCATTCTGTAATCTGTTTTTTTTATATAAAACAACATTTTTGAGCTTGATGGTTTTATATCTTATTATTGTGATTTTTGGGAGATATCATATTAAGTACTGTAGTTAAATTGGGAATTTTAATGTTCAACGTAAAAACTTAATATTTTTTAGTTATTTTTAACAATATATTACTTAATTTCTAAAATTATTTTCAATTTTTTAATCAAACTTTTATCAACAGATTTATAAATTAATATTATTTAAAAAAATGATATCAAGTTTTTCAGTTAAATTTTTGTACACATACGTTGATAACTAGGCGTTTAAATTTAAAATCATTAAAAAATGTATATTTTCATTCGTACACTTATATTAAATAACAGATTTTGGTCTTTCAAAAACTCGAGTAATAATTTATTTGGCACTCCATAAAAAATAAATCGTTTTTTCCGAATTAATTTGAAAAAAAGTTTTTACTCGCAAAAAGTTCAATACATCTCATTTTTCCTACTTTTGAGCCCTTTTGAATTTGACGATCAGTGAAATCGCACTTGTTAATTACATTTTAAACCGTCATTGCTTATATGATATATTACGTAAAATTTGATTTCAAGGACAAAAATGACACCCGCTGGGCTTTTCACAAAGGCCTTAATAAAAATAAGCATTGTCATTTTTTCTAAAACAAAATAACTTTTTCATTAAATTAATTAGTATTCTATTTACCAAAACATTTCATATTAGTAGTGCAGAAATTACTATTTTGCTGGTTTTTTTTTTCACTAATAATTAATACATCAAAAGATTGTAAACAAAAGTTTAGTATTTTCATTCATTGTCTCTAACATGATGGTAACTCAATATATTTGAAAATATACTAAATTAATGTATTATTGTTTATTATCATTTGCTTTATAAAGGATTAAAAAACAATAACTAAACGACATAAAAACCGGTCTCTATCTTGGGCGAACGCTGTCTTCGTGGGAAGATAGCTGCCATGCTAATCGGAGGACGTTTTGGTGGTGGCAGTGAGACATCATACCGCGGCGCTATGTTATACATTTTTATTCTATTACCATTATATTTTAAGTATTATTATTATTTTACTCTGCGCTTCTCTATGACCCTACTGTGAAGCACAAAACCGGTGTGAGAGTGAACACACAACCCAAGTCAGGTTTCTGATATCGAACGGTTCGCACGTCTTGGTAATTTTTGTTTATACAAATAAAATTATATTTTTGAAAAAAGTTACTTTTACAGTGGACTCGTTTAACGAGACATATAAGTTTTTCGTACATAGTGCGTGTGTTTTGATTTTTCCGTGAAGATCAAAGTTCTTTTGTTGGTATCTTAGGGTAAGTTTTTATTATCATTTTAATAATTAATTTTGGATATTTTTCTATAACTATAGTTATCTTGAGAAATAATTCAACTTTTATCAATTTTTTCTAAAATTTAACTTGTGATAATTTTTTTGGGGAGATGTTGTTCAGGTAATGAGTTTCAAGATTATTAGGTAAAGAATATCATTTATATAATTAAGTACATATTTCTTAACAAATTTAAGGTAGTAGTCTGTTATGTCAAGAGTTTAAATTAAAAATTTTTATCCTACATTAGCTATAATGAAAAGACGGACTGCTTAATATTGTAGAACAAATCGAGGAATTCATGAACAACTACTTTTATGAACTTGTAATACAAGTATAAAATATTAATTGTGGAATTTAAATTTAAATTAATAGTGTTACAATAATTATTTCATAAAATTAAGAAAAAACTCAAACAAATTGCCTGGAAACACATTAAGTACTTTCCCGCCATTTTTACTTATTTTTAAATTCACGCGCGTAAATTAATACAAATGTCTTTTAAAAATGTATATCATTATTTTTTCTCTAATGTTTTTCGTTTAAAATAATTTATTAAAGACTTAAGCACTAACAGTAATTCTTAATTTTTTAGATAAGAAAACTTTTCTGATATTTAGTTTTCAAGTTAATTCAACAATTAACTATTCTTTAAATCTTATCTATGTTATGGTATTTATAAATTTTGGTTAAATATTATTTTGTTATGTAATTCATAAGTTATATGAGTTGTCAGTTAGATCTGTTACTCTGTATTTAATTCTTAAATATTTAACGATTAAACAGGATTTACATAGATTTTGGTATGATAAAAATTTAAATACTTGATCTAACTTTAACAAAACTTATTTTCTTATAAAATTTTATATTATCACTTTCAATCAAAGAATTGCATTTTTGATCAAATAGTTTATTATCTAGAACATAATGTAAAAATGCAAGTGCATTTAATGTATTCATAATGGTTAATGGAGTTTTTGTATTATGATTAAGTTGAATAATTTTAGAGTACTCTGATTTTATTAAGACTGTGGTAAATTACTAAATGCGATTAATAAATTAGTGCAATTAAATATCAGATAAATCTATTGTTTACAATGTTCATAAAATAGTTCATAAAGACTTAGCATTAATAAAAGTTCTATAATTTAATAATTCCTCTAAACTCTATAGATTTTTACTGGTGGGTGTTTTAGAAACATATTTTTTTTGATTCTCTGAATGCTTCCTCAAAAATTGTACAAAATAATTCACATATTCGTTTAATTTTTTTTAATTACTACCAGTGAACAATAAAGTACATTACGATAGAGACCATATCAGGATAATTTAATTATTTTTATTCAGTGTGGCCCAGTTTATATATATTTTTTGATAATTGTCAAACTGTTAGAATAGGCTAAATAGTTTTTAATAATTTAAGTTCAAAATACAAAATTATTTATTTTTTTTTTTTACTTGTAAGATCCCTAAGTAAAATTACCTCCGGGTCTTCAAAGTCTGAGAGCAACACTAGTTCTATAATGTTCTTTATGACATTTATTTGATACCGTAAAATATATAAAAACTGAAATTTTTACAAACTCTGAGCTGTTGTGGAATTTCATCGATTAAATATTAATATCAAAGAACATTACCAATTAATATCTTAAAACATATATAAAGTATTTACTTAAATACTTTTATAAATTAATAAAAAATATCTTTTCACAATAGGGTATTATTATTGTTGAAAAGTGTGTCAATTATTTCAACAAAATAGAAAAAATATCAACTGGATTAAATGTTGTAGAACTCGACAGGATATGCTGGGCCACCCTTTACCTGTGGAATTTCTTTTTATCATTTATGCCTCATATATTATTAAAAAGTTTAAAAACACCTCTATATCGCACTGATTATGAAATACGTTTGTTGAACACAAGCCCTGAGGTTACAGCGGCTAATGATGTTTGTTTTAAACAATCATCAATGACGTGTAGAACAGAAGTGTAATCCACGTGAAGGGTATTTATCATTTGGCGGTCGGCGAACTCACGGCAGTCTAAATTAATTTTTCTAATAAACTCATAAATTGATTCATTGTGGCATTTGTGTTTTTAGCGGCTAAGTGAAATTATACACCGAATTTTTTTTATTTTTTAGCTTCGATGCGAAGCTGAGAAGGTATTGGTTTAACTAGGATGTGTTTTTTTTTTATTTTTTTTTTTGTGCCTATTACAACTTTTTTTATAGATGCTTGATGTCTTTACCTATCATTTGGTATATTTTTTTTATAAATTTAACATTTTACCTGCCCACAGGGGATGATTTAAAATGACAACTTTTTCACAAAAAATTAACTTATTCAGTTCAACTTTTGAAAGTGTTCCGGAAGGTCTGACACTTTTATATATATCTTAAATTAAAGCTAATGTAATGTTCTTTATTATGGAAAAAAAAATTTGACCTCTGGACTTGTCTTCGTGGTGAAAATGGCTACCGAATGCTATTTTTGTGAGAACATTATCGATTTTATTTTTTACATTTTTAACTTTATAATGCTATAACTTATTGAAAAATGTATGGATCAACATAATTTTTTTATGAGAAATAATATTTTTAATAATCCCTTTTTCATTCAGGAAAGAAATAAGGAACCAGCAGATCATGTAGCTTTTGGAATAATCCACCAATTTTTAAAATTAAACACTATTTAAAGATTTGCATTGAAGCGTTTTTTTTATGATAGTGATTTTAATCACTGTCAGATATCATTATACTTGATCCAACTATGCCATGTCACCACTGTGCCACGACCCCCCTGTGCTGGTTTTTTTTTTTATTTTTGGCACTTGAAAGGGAGTTTTAAAATATAAAATTTGTAATGATTATTTATTTTTGGAACATCGCACAATTAACGTACTTGCTAATCGCTCGTGACATAATTGGTTGCGTGTGGCGGTTTCCATTTAAAATTAGTTGCATCGACTATATCCTTTCAAAATGTCACTGCCAGCTTTTGTATGCATAAATTCACCGGTACGAATACTGTTAGACGTAAAAACCGGGCAAAAGAATTTTAAAATAAAATAAGTATACTAATAGCTAGGTAATAATTGTTGATGGTATTCGATGTCTTCAGGAGGCCTTGATTTCCCGTCAATACTTGTTTAATGTATGTGTGTATAACTATTAGTTAATAATGATATGATAATAATACCTTGTATAGGTGACGACGACGAGTACAATTTTATTTTCCTACTAAATACAATAATAATAATAATAATAATGTGGTTGAAACTCGCGCACCGTTCCTTGAACTAAATACTCACACACTTTAAGCTGTCAACTTAATATTATTTGCGAGCTCCGGGCGTGCGTGTACTAATTATGACGAATACATTACAATTACACATTACCCAAAACAATTATTAATTAAAATTTTAAACGATTTTTAAATAATCGTGTTGTCCTGCTGTCTTAGTTGAAACAACATTTAAACTTCAAATTGTTCAAATCGAATCGAAAAAACCTTTATTAAGTTATTTATACTTTATCAGTTGTAATGCGACTTCAATAAATAAACTAATTAAAATTTGCGTATTGTTGATGTTAACAAACGGTTTATAGTTTTTTTATAAGCTGTTGATACTTTCTTCGTCATGTGATAAGCAGCATTTTCTGTCAATCTCGGAACCTTATTTAATATCGTTGCCTTTATGTTTTTTCAGAAAGTATATTGCAAAACAATAAGTTTCCGCTATCGTAGTGGTTTGTCGATGGAATATAGAACTGACCGGTGATAATAGCATCGAATAAAAGATTTGATCGAGCAATATGTCTGAGAAGTGGACCGAAGAAGAGTTGGACGCGTATTTGTTGGGCGAAGGTCGAAAAACTTCGGTTGGCTTGGCTAGAGAAAACCGCCGACTATCAGGTAAGAAGCTAGTTGTTTATTGGTTTAAATGTACGAGATTTATTAATATTTTTTACCTGTCATCTGGATCCGAAAGAAATCAAGGTTTTAGAACTATAGAAACAGAAAAACAACGGAGATGATCATACGATCTCTTGTAAAATTTGTTGACACTTTTTGTCATATATTAAAATAAAGTAAAATATTAGCAAGGTCGTTAAAAATATTTACTAAAACAAATAATGTTTTGTCTCTCTTACATTTTATAATGTTGCTATTAACCTTGGATTTTAAATTAATGGTTTAAAATATTGATTGGGTAAGAAAACCAATAGTTAACATTTTGATTTCATTTTCTAATAAGTTAAGAATACAAAAGAATTTATTAAGAAAAATGAGTATATTATGCACATATACAAGTCTAGGTGTTCTTAGACCATTTTTGTTTCATTTGGAAAATATATTTCAATAGTGTACACTATGCTCGTCAAGTTCAGTTATCATGACTCAATTAGGCGTTGTATTTTTTTTAGAATTAATGCATTGATTATAAATGTATAATTTTTCAAAACGATTCTATCTTTATATAAGAGTTACAATCGCATAATGTATTGCTCAGTCGCATAGGAATTTGCTCATTATCCTTCACCTCCGCCAGTGAATAATTTGAAGAATTCCACAGTCTCCTTTGGGTAGCAGTCAATATGCATCACATTTTTAATATTATGCACATATTTAAATTTGATAAATTATTAAAAATGTGCGTTGTATTTTCATAACATTATTATAGATAGTGTAATTATAATAAATTGGAAAAACAAGGGAACAAAAACATTACCCAATAAAATATAAACAAATAACAACGTAAGCAATCCAAGCTCAGTATTACCTTATTACTTTGCCTTTTAAAACACGAGTTCATGCTAATTTTTCGTTTTATATAATTAAAAATAATATTTCTTTAAAATATACTGAAATAATTATTGTTTTCATTTTGGATTATGCAATTAACCGTTAAGAAAATTTGAATCAGTAAATAATAATGATTTATTGCTGACCACTATAACGAATTGCAATGGCGTTTCTGCGTAGGTATGTCGTAAATGTATTCTCGGGTAGAAAGTCTATATGTATATAGAAAGTACATAGTAAACAATTATATTTACGATGAGTAGTTTGAAAAAGGTTGGGTCTTGTTAAAACTGCATGCAAGTTGTCTACTGGCTCTTATGGATGTTTGGGTGTCGATATCCGGATTAGATATTTACTATAGTTGCAGCTAAATACAGCGTAGCGTTGTCAGAAATGTGATCAAACAAGGTTTTGTCGGACAGTTCGTTTTTTTACTTTTAAGTTATACAGTAAAAAATGAATGTTATTTAATAAAAATCTCTGTTTATTGAAGAGGTAGATTAGAAACCTAAATCGGTTGTCCCAGTCATAATACTAGTTTAAGTATCTTATCCTTTTTTAAGTTTTAAATTAAAAAATATAAAAATTAGCACGAAACAAACTGTGTTATTTGTATCACTCGCTACAATTATATACTCCAAATAAAGTACAAACATTTTTTCCATTAATGACTTAAAACTAATTTAAATCTAACCTTGTGGTACATTATATTGTACAGTTGTGTTTTTACAATTCGCCAAAGATATAATCAGGATTTTAACATTGAGGATTTTTTTTTGTATCTTACCTTTCACAAAGAATTAGGGGCCTTTATACTAGAAGTAAGCCTTGGTATTATTTTTCAACTTCATAACTCGCTACCATCAAATGACTGCGTGTGTAAATTTTTCCGATAAATGTTAAGTATGAGGTACAATATTTCATTTAATGAGGGACATGACGTATGTCTGGAACAAGTCGTGGTGTCTACGCTGTTTGCACAAGGTGTTTGCAACTGCGCACGGTAATATTGGGTCATGGTGAATTGTTTATTGTGTTAAATTTGTTAAAATTTGTTTGAAAAAATTGTGCGATTATATTGTATTATGCGATTAGTTTACAATTAATCAATTCTTAAATCCCATCAATATTACTTTTGTTGTAAAATGGATAATATCATACCAGTTCAGTCATCTTTAATAAAAAACGTTCCTTGAGTACACATAGATTTTCTAAAAAAAAAGTTGTATTAAATTAGTCAACCAACACTCGTGCCACCACAAATTGAAATTACATTGATTTCATAACGCATTCATATTACTTATGATGCTTAATGTTTCGTACGTGTATGTCTTCTATACTCTTGTTTACAGTATGCGTCGTATAATATGACACATATACATTAGTATATGCCTTCAAGGTAATGCGGTTGTTCGCTGAAACCCTATAGATCACAAAAATTGCATGTAACATAATTTACCAATTCCTTTAATTGGGCATGAATGACGGAAGATGTGTGAAAATTCGAGCGGAACCAATAGCCGCGTAAATTATCTTTTGAGCCGCCCTTGGCATTATAATTTTCTCGAAGTTATAATTTTTACAGGTTCTTCCTACAAACAATCGCAATCTGTTGGAAAACAGTAATATTTTGATTTAGCAGTCTTAAATTTAAAAACCACTAAGGCGTATTAGTTATCACTTGTGTGGTGACGATCGTTAGTAACGTAACAAGTGGCTTATATTTTTTGGAATAAATACGCAAAAACATACCGCAGAATCATATGACCTTAATTTGTGGTGGTTGCACGACGGGATAATAGTTGATTCTGACAATTATCGTCGATAGAATATGAGAAATACCATAGGAAGTTAGTGTTTTGGTCAAAATGAACAAGAAAATATTGAAACAATAACAATACAACATTACTTCATTCAATTATGTAACTGCGTAAACGTATTTGGGCGATGATAAATTATACGCCATTCAAGTGAGATGCGATTATATTACAATTTGATGGTAATACGGTCGATAGTAAACTTATGTTATTGTTATACGGTTATTTAGGATGGATTGAGATGCGCATGTGGTTTAGACGTAATAATGTATTAAACATAATGTACGAGCCACAAGGCTAACGATCAAATAAATAATACCGGGTTTGTTATCAGTTCCATAGCAAGTCTTTTTCGTTGTAGTTGATTATATTGGACCCACTGGAGTGGATTATACATTAACGGTGGAAACGAATGGGACTTTGAGTAACAATAAGGTGTTCCAGAGGTTTTTCTGAAAAAGAAGAATATCGTAAAGAACGCATTTTTTAAATGGTATTTTCTACTAGGCGAAGCACTCTCCTAGCAAGGAACCCGGTTGACCTTGGCCGACCGAAGTCACGACCGTTTGTGCAAAGTGTAAATTAATAATACCAACCGCGATGTATACATAATAAGTATACCATTTGATAGTAGGCGTTTTTTTTTCACGCACGTGGTTATCCATATGAAATTATTTTTTGAAAAGCTGAGCGACCAGAATATCATAGAAACTGTCTAGAATCTTCTATATTCATATTTTATTTTCGGGTTTTAAATATTACTACTGAGAACGTTAGATATTTCGGCGCACAACGCGAAACACATTTTCGCGGGACACTTTTTTAGTAAAAGAGATCTTTTTTCGTTTATGCATATAAGGCCTCATGAAGCACGGGATCCTTGGCAAGTGCATTGATGGATCTGCCCTTCCACTGGCCCTACCATGTCCACATTGTAGGTTTAGGATTATAAATTTTGATTACAATTCATAAATTATATTTAGAAGACAAATGTGATTGTGCATTTTTATTTGTTTAAAAACCTAAACATATTAGATCACATAACAAGAAAAACCAAATAAAGTGATGCAATAAACAAAAAGAAATATAGGGATCAGGTTTAAAGAACAATCAAAAAACATTATGATCAAGAAGTTTATAAATCTTCTGCGGCTGAACATTTATTAATACGGTTACGTGTTAATAAATGTATTAACTCCATTAAAACCATAAAACTAATTAAAAATGTAAATAATTACCAAGAACTTAACATAAGGGAGACAATATAAATGTTTTTATATAAGAATAATTTAATTAATTGGTAACTGAAAAATTCATTAATAAATTTGTGTAAAGTGGCAAAATGTGACAATAATACTTTGTGATAACGACACTAGGGGTAAAGAAAAGGGTATTTTTCTGGTCGGGGTGTCAGTAAGTGTTCATCGTTGATAACGATAACATTGATCCCGAAATACGTATCTGCGAATTTTATTTGTGGCTTTTTGTGTTAAATATTATTAATATTTTTTAGTTTTAAATTAGTGTTTTTAATACAGTTTTAATTTTAAATAATATTAGCCACGACTGATCAATTTTTATTATATTATTTTGTATACTTTTGTAGTTATAAAATTAATAATATAAAAATAATTATCGACAATTAAAGTATAGCTATATATTTAATTATTGTAATAACTATGCCCAACTTCTTTGAAATAAATGTGAATATAAAAAACTTTATCTCATATATAGAGAAATGTTGTTTGTAAAACAAAACCAGTTAATAATAATTCGTCTTATTCATATTGAAAGGACAGCCAAATTTATTTATAACTACACTAACTTGTCTATTATTTTTAGCCACTCTAATTTTATAGTTATGGAGTAGTGTCATTAAGGGTAAAATAAACAATAAACGTGTTTGCTCACTTGGAAATAGGTTTTTTTGACAATTTTTTTTTCATGAAACATTAAGTTCGTTTTGAATATTTAAAGATTTTAAATTTGTTACATCATTAACGATATTTGAAAACTGAACTTATGATATTTTAATGGCTGATTTATAAATCGTAATTTAATGAATAAAAATGTACATTTAATTGAATCTTACTTCTTCCATATTTTTTGTAATATTTGATTACATAAATTATGAAAAAATACAGTACAGCACACAAAGTGCGTATTGAAATCGCATCAGACAACCTTCATTTTAAAATTCGCTAGATAATTTCTTTAAATGAAAAAACTATAACTGAAGTATTAGTAAATAATTTTTTTGATAATAGTAAAATAAATTTTTGTTCAAATTCT